GAAACTGAGTTTAGCGAAATCTCGGAAACGGCAACAATAGGATGGTAATTAAGCGGTAAGCGTAAGATGCTCCGACTCGAGCAGGAGCGTAGAAGTAAGGCAACGCGGTTCCTTCTAGTTGAAAATGAGTACCAAGCGGAGACGTTTGTCTGGGAGGTACAAGGTTCTTTAATCTTTAATTTTAAATAAATTTGTTAAATTATAAAAGCTTATTTATATACATGTATACAAATTTTATTTTTGTTTTCACTCCCAGCAAATTTATAAATTTACTTTATAAAAATCTTAATTTTAATATTTGCTCTCAATGTTATATTTGATGAAATTTATATTATTTAATTTCAAATAAATTTAAAATTTATAAGGCAAATGGTGAGTTTTTCCCCTTTCTTGTCTGATGTCAGTACAATTATTTGAATTTTTATTAAAAGTAATTTTAAGTATTACTTATTACTGTTTATAATTATAATAAAATCTAAAAATTAAAATATAATTATAATAATTATTGCAATAAAAATATTATGTATTATAAGATGAAGAATTTTCAAAAAAAGAGTTTAAGGATTTCGTATTTCAAGTAGTTCTTACGGCCCTGATTGCTGACGCCGATTTCGGGAAATCTCATTACTGAGTTTAGCGAACGACCCACCAAACCTGCCGCTAAACTCAGGTCGCAGTGTATACACTTTTACGTAATTTTGCGTGTAGATTACAAAAAAAATATAGCAAGAACGATTGAAGTTGATTATTATAGCGTTTTCAAGGAAAAACTGATAATTTTCGATAAAAATCATGATTTTTCACCAAAAAAATTTTTTAATTGAGTTTTTTCAAAACATACAATTTTTTTAAAAAGTGGACTTTTTCCTTAAGTTTTACAATTTTTTGACCTAGAAAGATAAAATTTTCTTCCTTTTTTTGAGGCAAATTCTTGATTTTTTTCAACTCCAATTGTGCTTGCTATATTTTTTTGTAGTGTTTTACCATTCTTTATAATTTGCCATTTTCTATTTTTTACCATTTACTATTTTTATTATCTTTTGACATTTTTTATTTTTTGATATTTTTATTATTTTTTAGTTTTATTAATTTATTTTCAAATTTATGCGTAGATTTTGTTCTATGTTTATGTCTATGAATATGTCTATGTTTTCTATCTAGGCCTTCAAACTTTAAACCCCTCAAATTTTAGGTTTAAGGGTACGGAACCCTCGGTTTTAATGCGAGTGTAACTTGCACTTGTCCGATTTTTTAAGTATTCGATTCGAGAATCACAAAAGTTAAAAGTTTCGTGGATTTGCCCATATATACCTGTTTACAATGTATCCTGTCGTGTAAGGGGGTATTTTCTTGAAAAAGGACATGTTTTCGTAAATTCGCTTCTTCTGAAAATAACGTTTTTTGATCTGGCGGACATCATAAAAAAATCCTATTGCACCGATTAAGCAGGTGTCCCCCTCCGATCAAAAAAATTTTTTTTTTGCTCAATAATAATTGAGGGATACTTTCTTTTCATTTTGAAAATATTTTTCCAAATAAAAGACTTTATCAGCAAACAAATTTATTTCTTCTGCAAAAATCATCTATAAAATAAAAAGGATACTTTCTTCTCATATTAAAAATATTTTTAAATCTTGAACATTATATTCTGGGGGTAACTACCCCTAAAAATTATTTTTACGTTAAAGTAATACTGTTTCACGAATTAAAATTCACTTTAAAATGCAAATTAAGAACGTTTGTTTCGTGAGAAATCATCGCAATAACCTTCATACTTTGTTCGTAGGGTGGATTAGGATAAACAACCCCTAAAAACATTTTATTTCAAATAAAAGACAATATCAGAAAAAAATGTATTTTTGCTGCAAAATTTATATACAAAATAAGAGAGATACTTTCTTTTCAGTTTGAAAATAATTTTAAATCTGAAACTTTTTTTTAGAGGGTAACTACCTTTAAAATTTTTTTTTAAATTTTAAAATGAAAAGAAAGTATCCCTCTTATTTTGTAGCTGATTTTTGCAGAAGAAATAAATTTTTTCTGATAAAGTATTTTATTTGAAATAATATGTTTTTAGGGGTTGTTTACCACAATTCACCCTACGAACAAAATATGAAGATAATTGCGATGATTTTTCAGGACCCAAACGTTTTTAATTTGCATGTAAAAATGCAGTTAAAATCGTGAAACAGTATTATTTTAATGGAAAAATAATTTTTATAATTTTTACATCTAATTATTTTGCACAGAAAAATAAAATATAAAGAGAGGAATTATATAATCTTGAAAGAAAAGTTCATTTTTAGGGGTGTTTACCCCTAAATTCATGGGGGTTGGTGGTGAAAATGCTACTGTTTAATTCCATTTTTTGTGCTAAATTATTATTGAGATAAAAAAATTTTTTATTGAATTTTTCTTTATATTGTGTAATTTTTATATTTCCGTAAAAACATGTTCACCATTGCCGATAAAAAAATATACGTGTTAATTAGTTTTTCGAGTATTAAAACATATAATATCAAGATGAACATTAAATTTACTCTCTAAATTTGAATCAGCGATATCTCGCTGATTCTCAGCTATAAATATACCACTGATTCCAATCAGCGTATATGCACTGATAAATTAGTAAAAATTCACTGATTTTTCAGCGTATATACGCTAATTGGTAACAGGGGTATACTTATCGTTGATTCAAATTTAGAGAGTACAACAAAATCCACATCTATTTTCCTTCATTTAATGGATTTTTAATAAAATTGTAATATTTAAAAGTATTATGGAAAAACAAACAAAGATCGGGGTTGTCCGCTTTAAGTTGAATGCCCCAAAACCTATTTTTTAGCTCCAGGAAGTCTCAAAACGTGGAGATTCACTGGAATTAAAGAAGGCTCAAAATCGACCAAAATGTAATACCTTCTCATTATGATGAGAATGTAAAAATTTTCTTACGACCAGACTTTTCCCCACCTTGGTTGGGTATTATAAGTGTTTAGGGATATATTTGGGACCAAAATAATGTTCAATAAAAAAAGTTCCTTCTTGTCCTTTAGACTATTAATATTTATGAGAACTAAAATTTTCCAAAAGACTTAACGTTGGTAACTTCAGTGTCAGCTTTAAAGAATTTTTCTTTATTTATATATAAATTAAATATAAAGAATGGGACAATTAAGATTATAATAAATAATTAAATAAAGAAGAAAAAATTTTCCCAGTTACTTATAAGAAAAATAGACAAAAATTTACACTATTATATTTTCTTTTTATTCACTTTTATTACATTGTTTTTAATTATAATACTTAAAAATAGCTCAAACGACTTGAAATGTATAAAACCAAAAAGGCACGTCTTAACATGAAACTTTTATTATATAATAATAATTGACATCTGAAAAATAAAATACGGAACAAGTTGGAGACAGTATGATTTATAGAATTTCATAATTTTCAAACTTCTACTACAAAATTTTCCCACGCTTTTATTGCTTCTGGTCTATAATTTAACGAAAGCAACGATTCTTTTGTTATGATTATGACAATACAACAGTTTTACTCAACAATTTTTTTCTCCTAGTGCAAAATAATTACACATGCAACAGTTCAAGAAATTATCATTATACTATTCTATATTTTTCATAAAATTTGTTAATCAATTTAGTACATATGAGTCATTTTACGTGTAATGTCCTAAGTTAAAAAATCGATTTCTCGAAAAAAAGTGAAACTTGGGGAAATTGTTGTCCTATCTGATAGTAAAATATCCCAAAAAAGATTTTTGTAATTTTGGGAAAGATAGAGGGGGGTCAATTTTATCAGTTTTCCCTGACACCGCCTACTATTTGAATTTCTTCTGTCTATAAATGCAATGAAAAAAATTTTGGCAGGTATGTTTTTTAAAGGTTTTTTCATGCTCTTCCCAATGGTGAATTTCGTTTTTAAAATTTTTTGAATTTTGACCTTGATTTTCTATAATTAAACATAAATTATCTTTTTTCACTAAAATCGATGCGTTTTTTAAAATAAATAACTGCAAACGAAAGCTGAGGTTTTTTCCGATCTGTATATAAATTTTCAGAATGACGATTTTTTTTGTTTTCGAGATATTAAATATCAAAGATTTTATATCCGCGCGCGTCAGTGTTTACAGCTACCGCATCGCGGTATGAGTCGACAGCCTGGCCACGCGCACCGACATAACATCTTTGACATTTAATATCTCGAAAACAAAAAAAATCGGCATTCTGAAAATTAATATACAGATCGGAAAAAACCTCAGCTTTCGTTTGCAATTATTTATTTTAAAAAAACGCATCGATTTTAGTGAAAATAGCAAATTTATGTTTAATTATAGAAAATCAAGGTCAAAATTCAAAAAATTTTAAAAACGAAATTCATCATTGGGAAGAGCATGAAAAAGCCTTTAAAAAACATACCTGCCAAAATTTTTTTCATTGCATTTATAGACGGAAGAAATTCAAATAGTAGGCGGTGTCAGGGAAAACTGATAAAATTGACCCCCCTCTATCTTTCCCAAAATTACAAAAATTTTTTTTGGGATATTTTACTATCAGATAGGACAACAATTTCCCCAAGTTTCATTTTTTTTTCGAGAAATCAATTTTTTAACTCAGGACATTACACATAAAATGCCTCATATATAGATTTCACATTAGTGCAATATTTTACATGAATAAAAAAAGAAAACTATAAACATTTTATGTCTACTATTAATTAAATTAAATACGATAAATATTCATTTTTAAATAAATTTGAAAACTGAATAATAAAAATGATATGTAAAAATAATAAAATAAATTATTTTTATTAGTTTCATGATTACATTACTAATGTCATGACCTTTTCTTAAAATTAATTAACTTAAGAAGCTGCATGAGCATGTTAGAAGTGGATTTAAGTTTTATATGAAAGAAATAAATAATCTATTGAGATCGAAAAGTAATAATGCGAAAGAGGTTATTGGAATCTATATATCTCACCTGAAGGAATTTTCCCGTGCTTGACCTTTGCACATCCCATTCAATGTCTCTCTGAATCTTACGAATCAATCCACTTTGTTTTGCCCGAAGAATTACTTTATTGAATGGCTCAGTGTAGAAAGACTGAGATTTCAAAACAATACTGACTCCAAATCTCACAAAACATTCATCACTAATGTGCAGGAGTGACCTTTTAGTCTTCCAACTATTATTAATATATATAAATATATTATGTCAATCAGGTATATATAAAAAAGACGGTAATTGAAAATCAACAGTGAGCACGAGCGTATGTGGGCGATTCTACGTGAAATTTACCCAGCAAACACGTTCTATAAATGTTCTATAACAATGAGGACACAGTTTTATAGATCATTTGATACAAGCTGGTTATGAATGTGTTATATAACCTCATTGTAACAGAATTCTAGAACATTGTTACAAAGGAGTTACCGAACCGTTCTATGTTATGCGAACTTAACAGTTCTAATGATCTCTAATTGACGTTCCAACGTAGTTCTACACTGAAAAAAATAGTATTGAACCAAGAAAATTTTACTTGGTTCAAGAAAATCGTGGGACTGAATACGGTCAAATCAATTATGCTACTGTTTCAAGAAAACCATTTACTTGGTGCAGTATATTTAAAAGAAGAACATATGTTATATTGATCCAAGAAAATATGGAATTCGATCAAAAAGTTAATCGACTTCTATGAGTAAAATATTTTCTTGTTCTAAGGATATCTGTAGTCAAATCAATTATTGCATTTGATTCATTTGAATCTTTGTAATGTTGGTTCAAGTAAGTAAAGATTTAAATCAAAATATTATTTACATTGTCAGAAGAACGCATGTTCTTGGTCCAAGAAAATATGGAATATTCACCTAAGAAGTTAATTGACTTCTAAGAAATATAAAATATATTAAGTCAAGATCATATATAAATCAAGAAAATATTTTCTTGACTTGAGAAAACTTATGGAGTTCTTCAGTCAATATTTTATTGTTTCGCTTAAGAAACATAATATTCTTGATTGAATGCTTTTTGGTACTTCGGGAAAATAAAATATTGGGTTGCGATAATAGCACATTTACTTCTGCCAAATACTAAATTCTTAATTCAAGAACTATGCGTTAATCAAGTTAAAACAAGTATTTACTTATATTAATATTCGCATTTTCTTGACTCAAGACATATATTAGAGATGAATTAAATAAAAAATATTTTCAAGGAAACAAAAGAATGATTTCATTCAAGATTATATCACTATTTCAACTGAAAAAATAAATTATTTCATTTAAGATAATATAATATTATTTCTTGAAATTAAATGTTCTAGAAACAATATAATATGAAAATGCTTCAAGTATATTAAACACTTGGATTGATTAATGTTTAATTCAAACAATATAATTATTAATCAAGTTGAAACAAGTAGCTACTTCTATTAATGTTTTCATTTTCTTGGATCAAGACTATATAAGTGTTAGATTAACAATAAGTAAATAGTTGTTTTGAAGGAAACAACAAAACGATTTGATCCAAGACAATAAAATACTCAACGTAAATCACTTAACATGAGAAAATAATATTCTTGACTTAATACTTTTTCGGTTCTTGACGCAAGTAAAACAGTTCCCTTGAAACAGCAAGATATATTTACTTGTATGAAACTCATATTTTCTTATTTCAAGAACATTGCTCAATGCTTAAAATTACTTGACTCAAGAAAATAAATTTCTTCCATTAAGAAAATATCGTTTTGTTTCAAGTAAAGTACCTCAAGTAAATGCATTTACTTGATTCAATTAACTTTCTTTTCAGTGTAGAACTGTGTCCGAACAATGTTATGTAGCTGTTCTAAAATTATGTTGAAGTTCAGTTCTGGAATATATTTGTAACTGAGTATAAAAATTTAAGGTGTTCATAGGTACCTTAACTATTTTCCATGGAATTAATAAATTAATAGTTCATACTACTTAAGTATATAGTCAAATTTCAAAAACTCTAAAATTTTTATATATTACCTAGTGTTATTATTTCTTTTTTATATAAGCAATACAGTTTTTAAATTTTGTCAAGCACGTTTTCTTTTGAAATATACTTTAAAAATTTAAATAAAAAATTATTTAAATTTATTTATAAGAAAAATTATGTTCCTAAGTTTTAATTAAAAATGTTAACTTATATGTTAAATAAATTATTTAACATTAAAAATAAATTATAATTTAAATATAATTATTGTTTCTTTATTGTTCTGCTCCGAAAGTCTTCATTTCCCTCATTCTCAACTTATCAAATCAATTTTCTATTTACAGTACCGTCCAGAAGTATCAGGACGATTACACGCGACTCTCTGAAAAAACATGCCATCACTTTTTCAATCATATTTCTGCAACAAAAGGAGATACAAAAAAAAACTCAAAAACGGTTAGAAAGCTTATTAAATTTTGAATAAAATAAGCCATGTTTGCAGAAATATGATTGAAAAAGTGATGGCATGTTTTTTCAGAGAGTCGCGTGTAATCGTCCTGATACTTCTGGACGGTACTGTATATTCCCATTTTAGGGTAGAGTAATGGTTAGAGTATTAGCATACGTATTTTTAAAAAACTCGGAAAAATCAGATTTTTAAAAATTCATAACTCGAAAATTTAAGCACTTATAAGAAAATAATAAAGTACGTAAACCTATTTTTCTATAAAGATCGAAAAAAAATATATTTACCAAATTTAAAATGTCATAGGTAAATTTCACGTAGAATCGCCCATATGAACCTGCGTTGTTGCTACATTGGCGTCCACATACGCAGTATTTATTCAGGAATTTTCTCCTAAGCTTCTAAGGAAGCTCCCCAATTCGTCAATCTTTTATAAGCTTAAAAGAAGCTTCCAGTAATTTTATTTGTATAAAAATAAATACTTATCTTACTTTTGAGATAAATTTGTCTGTACGGAATATTCGAGAGCAGTGCGTGAACCCAAAAAAGCATAAGGCCAGAAGAAAGCTCGACTCGCATTTCTCACACCGTCAGAAATACTAGGAACCAGTTCGACTGATTTTAGTAAGTTTTTAGCAACCGAATCTTCCATATTTTCAGATGTAAACCATTTTTCCCAACCATCGCGATCTAAAAAATTAGAAGATTTATTTTTATAATATTGTTTCTATGTTTAGAATAAATTTTAATACAAATCCGATTGTTTTTATATAATCTTGAGAGCTGTTTTTATTATTTATTTATTGTCTTTATATTGAAAAAATATTATATTTTATATATATTTTTTTTACTAAGTATTGATTTTTTTACTTGTATGTGTCCATAAATGAGAAAAAAGTAAGTTAACAAAAATAATTTATTTATTTCCAGATAATATTAAGTATTTCAATGAAAAGCTTTTCATTATGTTGTCTTAAATATTAAACTTTAAATAATTCTGGGAGTCATAATTTTTTATTATTTAACAAATCATTTATGTAATAGATTCCTTATTTACTACCAAATACTATTAAAAAATTCTTTTCTACTTATTTGAAAGTTCAAAAATTGGATTTTTGGCCAACAATCGGCGATCTGCCCACTGTGCAGACTTCGGAATATGTGAAACTCGACACAATGCCCTATATTCTACTCTAAATAGTAATTGCCTTACCTAAAGTAGCAATTCTATATCGTTTTTTTACAAGGTGTGCAGCACTTTCAATTGCAGGAGGATAATCCGGTATTGTAATAAAAGCAATGACAGAACCCGTATAACACGTTGTAATGATTATTGTGAATATCCAATAAATTCCTGTAATTTAAATAGGAAAATTAATTAAATTTCCTTTTTTCAATTTCTGGAATTTCCAAATGAAATATTAATAAATTTAACATCATATAAAAAGTATATAATACATTGATATTTTTACAAACTGTTTTGTATACGTATCCTACCAATCAAAATTGAAGTTGGATGTTTCCCTATCCCTTTGGTTAGCAATGGACTTTTTATGTCGAAAGCGTTAGTGAATGTGCAGAACACGAACCAAAACATATGGTTTAATCGGGTTGGTCGCTTAATCAGCGATATTAAAGTGTAATCGGTGTTCATTGTCAACGGAATTATAGCAATAATGTAAACAACACACAAAAGTATCCATACTGTGTCTTGAAATGGCCTCAGAACAGCGCGATATCTAAAATAGTAAACAAGAAGTTAGTAGAGGTCTACAATTTTATTGGAAAATAAAAACAAATTCCTTTCACTTGATTTACGACTCAACTTTAGTCGACTCCTAATCATGTTGCTTTGCGTATTTCTTATTTTATAACAACGTCGTTGTTTAATATGCATAAAGTCGCAACTAAATTCTTGTTCCAATAAAACATAGTTACGTTAATGGGGCAGTTAATACTTTACTGCTCCCACTATTCAATAATTTCATCTTTGGACCACACAAATATATAAGTGTGTAGCGAAAAAAGGTTCGAAGGGAAGTTTACGAGAAGTCATGATAATTAAGTCTCTTGACAATAATTGGCCATTTACAAGAAACTGTGGATATCAATTAATTATTGGATTTGGCGATCCTTCGAATAACAAGTCTCGGATTCAAACATTATTTCGTGGATCGAAACGCGTATATATTTAAATAATATTAATCAAAAACTTAACGTTCAAACCCCAATCAATTCATACAATTTAATTTTGCAAATAATAGAGAAATCGTCCTGTTTTTAAAATATTGTACAGTTAAAGTTATAATAAAATTGACACTTAACCGAACGAATTGCTTTTTATTCTTGTAATAACCAGTCATATATTTAAATGTAATATATATAATTATTAAATACATACATACACATATAGAAAGGTCGTTAAAGGTATAAAAATATTATTACTTGGGTAAGGCTGTAGAAGATAGAGATATAAAAGATGCACAGTCTTGCATGTATGAGAAAGGAGCATCAAAATGTGATAGTAGATCTGGTGTCTGATAAATTCCACCCACAGCAACAGGTGCATCATCTTCAGAAATGTCATTTATTATGGACTCAATTTCGCTGGAATAAATATTTTCTTGTAGGTATAAAAAAACAAAAATTTTATTGAAAGTTTAGGTATTTAAATATGTCTTTAAAGTGTATGATGTTCTTCTTTTAAAAAGAAAAAAGGGTTATGTTAGTCAAAAATGTTGAGAAATAAAAAAGTTAAAAGTCGTTTAAAAAAATTAAATAAAATTATCGTAAAAAGTTAATCTTCTTAAAGAAATATTCTTGCCTGTACTTTGATGATACGGGATCTCTAAATTCCGCAACGAAACCTAGATTATCACCCAGCAATCGTAAAACTCTGATTTCGATTCCATCCCATGCCGTATCATAGATTCCCAGAATTGTTCTGCAAAAATGTTAAATATAAATTTCTACTTTGATTATAATCTATAGAAAGCTGTCGCGTTGAAATGAAATATATTATATACACATTAGAAAAGTAAAGAAGTATATTGCGTCCAAAATAAATAACACTGAAAATCTATCCATACAAATGTTATAAAGTTGCAGAAAAACACCTGTGAACTATTGAGAAATACGATCGAGAAAAATTATTAAAAATGATTACTTTCGCATTGTAAACGGAGGCCTGTGCGCTGTTGAAACAAGTAGTCGGTGACCTTTGAATCCTTCACTCAGCTTCTCTGGAAACAAATTCTGTTCTGGCTGGGTCAGAAAATTCGAGTTCCAAGCTGACAGTAAAATCGGTTCACTTGCACCACTTCCATCCGAATAAAGTTTATGAGTGTAGAGCAAATAAGTTGATTTCTAAAAAGAATTTTCCTCAAAATTATTGCAGAAATATGTCCATATTTCTGGACATATTCTAAGGATGTCTTGAGGATATCCCAAGAATATTGTCTACACTATTCCATAATATTTTACTAATTGGCAGGTTTCTATTTAACCCTTTGAGGACCAGTGTTGCTTTCAGGCAACATGAACATTTTTTGCTTTCTTATGCAAGAGTTCCATGATTTTTAAAAATAAATATTGGACAAATGTTTTTTATTTAGTCTAATAAATTTCTAATTACAAACTTTGGTTTTGAGACAGAAAACCTAAATTATACTTTTGCTGAAAAACTTGTGTAACTCCTCAAAGACTAATGTTGCCTACAGGCAACATTGCAAATTGACACAAAATACCACTTTTTTAAAATTTTTGATGCAATTTTTTGTTTCTTGTATTTTGTTACAAGCAGTCAGTCGTTAGCAGTTGTTTGTCGAGTGCAGATGTAAAAAAAATTGCGTACCAAAGAAAAAAAAATTGGGACAAAAAATTTAGAGGGTTCCGTACACCGACAATAATAAACACTTTTTTATATATAAATCGGACTCGCTATATTTTTCCTGTAATCTACATGTAAAAACACGTATGTGTACTAAATTGCATTTCTTTATATACAAAAATGTAGAAGTTAAGGGGGGACAGGGTCATTTTTTGCAATTTTTTCGAAAAAAAACCGATTTTTTTCCTTTCTAGCTCATAACCATCAAATCCAATCGGACTCGCCATATTTTTCCTGTTAGATACATGTAGAAACACGTACACGGAAAGAAATCTTGTTAGAATATTTAATATTTTAACACTCATATTTAGTATATTAAGTTACAATTGCGGAAGATTTTGCAGATTTTGGGGTGGTAATAGATTTCATTACTATTTTTTAAGAATGCCTAAAGTAAAAATAATAAAGTTTAATATATTTAGAAACAAAAATTAGAATAGTTTTTGCGAAATTCATAATTGTATTATGAAAACTCCAAATGTTAAGTTCTAATACGCCCTGCAACAAGTATTAGAATAAAATATTTCATTTTCTGTATTTAGAATTCCGTTAACTGGTATAATCATTTTACATTTTGATATAGTCGATAAGAAAGTGGACTGGTGTTAATATAATTATTATATTTACATATAATACATCCTGATTGTAAAATAATTTTTAATACTGCAATATGAATTAAAAATAATTTTAATTAATATTTAATAATAAAATACTTCATTTGTTTGCTCATAATTTTTATATAATTTTTATTTCTGCAATATAGACTAGAAAAAGTTTTTAATTATTCTATATTTCTTTTTCTAAATATAATTATAGAAAATTTGTTATAAGTTTGCTTCTATAATTAAATTAAATGATTTTTTGATAAAAATTGTTCTTTGAAAGGTAATAAAATATTTTATTATTTCTTAATAAATAATTATTTTTATTATTTTAATTTTTAAATATTTAACAATGTAATATTAAGTTTCTCATCAGTGCAGAAAAATCTGTCTATTTAGTATATAAATGAGTTCAGAATTTCTCATTTCAGCGTGAATTATGTATATCTATATGCGTTTCGTTATTCTGGGTTTATGTATGCGTATTGTAGTTAGGATGTGTTAGGAATAATTTTAAGCCAATCAAAGCGTACCAGTTATGTGTGTGTATTAAGAAAGACCCCCACTACCCTCGAACAGAAAAGGAGAGAAAACCTGAGAAAAGAGCCATTGGTGGTTCCGACGTTCTTCTTTTTTTCACGGCTCCTGTTTTTTCGTATAGTCATAGCAAATATTGAAACGTGCTTTATTTTATAACACCACTCCTACTTTTTCGTATAGTTTTAGCAAATTACGAAATGTTGGTTCTGATTTTTCGTATACTTAAATTTAGTAAATAACAAAGTGCTAGACTGTTTACTTCCTATACTGTTTTTTCCTATAGTTTTTTCAATATTCAAAAATTGTAGATTTGAATTAAGAAATAATATTTGAAAAACAAAAATATCAAAATTTCTATTCAGATTTATTAAATGTTCTAACAAGATTTCTTTCCGTGTATGTGTAGGTACTAAATTGCAGTTCTTCATATACAAAAATGTAGAAGTTAAGGGGGAAACAGGGTCAATTTTTTGCTATTTTTTCAAAAAAAAAACCGATTTCTTTCCTTTCTAGCTCGTAACCATCAAATCCAATCAGACTCGCTATATTTCTCCTGTAATCTACACGTGAAAATACATATATGTACCTGTAGGATATTTTATGAATATCTTCCAACAGCACATGCTATTGTGCTTGAACATATTGTACACATGCAAATTACTTGACATATTTCAGCGTTCATTGCGCACAAATATATTTCATTGAAATATTTTTGAAATTTTCAACGTCAATGATGATTTATTTAACTTAAACTAGAATTTTCAAGTATCAATTGAACAGGGACCTATGAATTCTAACAACTTAAAGACTATCAAGCAAGATACCTAACTTGTTGATTTTGTTTGTTTTCTTATTACTATTATTGCTATTTGTTATTATTTTCTTTTTTATTCTTTTTTTATTGTCTGCCCAATATGGCAAAAAATATTGGGCTGACTCTTGTGGTGTTAACTGCGGTTAGACGTCGGCAGCCAAGTATCACACGCCATTACTGGGCCAATCTTGGCTGCCATTAGTGGCCCAATATTGTCAAAGTTTAAAAAAGTTTAAAAAATTATAATTATTAATTAATTAACTAATACATCACTAATGTGACGGAGTTCGGACCAATAATGGCAAATTAGAGTAACCGAGAATCGGTGACAATATTGGCCCAATAATGGGACGAATTGGTCGCCAGTACTGGTCCAGTACAGTTTGTCGTACTTCTAGAGACATTACTGGGCCAATGTTGGGCCGTATTAGCAGTCTTGGCCTTTCGCACATGTGTTGCTTCCCCCCTCTGTAAGTTCATCAAGGTTATTATTTCCGTTTGATTCTACCTGTTTATCACAATCAACATGGTTATTCAAAGAATAATTGACTAGCAATGTATTTAATTGATTTATATCTAATTCGACCTGCTCATTTATAATCCCTGTATAAGATCTTGTTTAGCAGCTGAACTTGTACCTGTTCTGGTGAGAACATGTATAAGAAAATGAACAATTTTGGCACCAGAATTTGGAACAAGTTCTTGTATCAGAACTTGTACAAGATCTTGTACAAGAAAATATATTTAATATTTGTATACAAGAAAATGTACATGTTTTTGTACATATTCTTGTGCAGGTTCATGTACAAGTACTTACACATGAAACCGTTCATGTTCTTATATAAGTTCATTTAAAAAAATTTGAGATTTAAAGAATTTAGAATCATTAAAACTCTTTGCAAGCTAAAAATTATTCCGCAGCTGTAAAGTCCTACACAGAAAAAACCTAGTCTCATTTTTGTGGCGTTTTTGCGACCTGTGAACCTGTACAAGAATATGTACAAAAACATGTACCATCATGTATTATCTACCACAGTTTGATTCTCTCTACCAAATGTTTTATTTAATATAGATGCAACTAGACCGTTTGGTTGTCAAAACTAAATTTTTTTGATGAATCGTTTTGTTCGGTCTACCAAATTTTTTGTTTCGCACAACTAAATTATTGTTTTTAAGCAATCAAAAAATTTTGTTAAATGAAATTTTTTTTTGTTTTCTCAACCAACTTAATTTTTGGTTCACCGTTTTCGCTTTATATAATATACCTATGCCTACTTAAATTAATTTCTATCGGAGGAAAAAACCTAACATTGCTGATGGGGCTCGAACCCTCAGACTATGCAACGCAAGTCGAGAACGCTGACCATTACTCTACGAATCCTACTAACAATTTGAGATTAACCCCTTCGCAGTCCAGTTAAAAATCGCTGGTGGGCCTAAAACGGTCCGAAAAAAAAGTTTCCAAAAAAATATAACTTCATCATATTTAAGGTTTTTGTGGTCGCTGAATTCGAATTTGAGGTCAGTTTTTCAAAATTCAAAATGGCGGATCCAATATGGCGGACAAATTTTTAAAAAATCAAACCGATTTGCCTGAAATTTGTTACTCAGGGGTTTTTGTGGTCGCTGAATTCGAATTTGAGGTCAGTTTTTCAAAATTCAAAATGGCGGATCCAATATGGCGGACAAATTAAAAAAAAAAATTTTTTTAAATTTGTCCGCCATATTGGATCCGCTATTTTGAATTTCAAAAAACCGACCTCAAATTCGAATTCAGCGACCACAAAAACCCCTGAGTAACAAATTTCAGGCAAATCGGTTTGATTTTTTAAAAATTCGTCCGCCATATTGGATCCGCCATTTTGAATTTTTAAAAACTGACCTCAAATTCGAATTCAGCGACTACGAAAACCCCCGAGTAACAATTTGTGGTCAAAACGCATTAATTTTTAAATTATCCGCCATATTGGGTTGCCATATTGGATCCGCCATTTTGAATTTTGAAAAACCGACCTCAGATTCGTAATCAGAGACCCCGAAAACCCCTGAGCAACGAGTTTCATGTAAATCTGATAAATTTTAAATTTTCATGGTCGCCATTTTGGGTCCGCCATTTTGTTTTTTTGAAATCTGACTTCAAATTTGGATTCAGCGACCCCAAAAACCCCCGAGTAACAAATTTCAGGCGAATCAAATTAAATTTAGTATTATTTTTTTGCGATGGCCATATATGGCCACTTGCACAAAGGTGGCACGACTTTTTCTGGCCACATATGGGCCCTGGACTGTCAAGGGGTTAAATCATTTTCACAATGTATAAAGGCTGGAAAAAAACTTTCATTCTTTTAACAAGTTTTATTTATTTATTCTCACTACACAAACTTTTTTTTAAAAAAAGTGTCTGAAAAACATAAAAACTTTAACACTGAAACTTCACGACGCGAACAACGTAAGACACAGGAGTGTAGCGTATGTGACTCCGAATTATTTAGGCCAATTCTTTTCACACAAAATTGTCAGT